ATACATGTACACTGAGAAAAAATGTGGGAAATATATCAATAAATTTCCTATCCCACGAGCTATAGTTTCAGTCAGAAGGGTTCAACGCATTGAAGGAGTCATTTCCGACCCTATAAATCATATATATTCTTGATCAGCATGAACAGCGGAATCGATCTGGCTTTCTTCGGCACAAATGTAATTTTTTCAAAATTTCAAAATTTTTATAAGGTTTTACATTGTTAAAATTGTCAAAATTTGATCAAAAAATTTAACTTTTTAAATTTATAAACTTAGTATGCAGATTTGTTAACCTTACAAAAACTAGCACAGAAAAGCTTTTCGAATTAAAATTAATGCATTTTTGGCTAAGTTATGATATTTGAAAAACTGTGATTTACCAAAAAAATAAGCATATAAAAAAACGATAAGTATGGCTTTAAATAATGCGAATATTTAAAGCTTAGTTATGATCAAAATATAACATTTGAAAAATTGTTATAACAAATCATTTTTCTTTATTTTAATTTGATTGTAACAATGGTAAGATATATATCAATTATATCGCATATAAGTCTTATTTAAAGAGAATTTTATAGAAACATTCAAAATGTTTAAACAAAGTCATGAATTTAATTTATAGTCAAGCAATTTGGCTTATATAAACCGTAATAAAATGTAAATTTATTCATTACCTTTTGGAAACATGATAATTTAATTGCTTTCTTGCCATCGAGAACTAGTTCTTGACTTTTATTGTTATTGCAGCTGTATTAGAAACTTGCCTAGATAAGTTTTTACATCTTGGTAACAAATAAATTATATCATAACATATATGTTGTAATATAAAGATTTAATCTTAGTTTTCTTTCCATGTATTAAGTATTTTCCTCTGCCGTTCGTGTTGCGTTTGTGCTCAACGATTTGGCTTCGGAACGTGCGAATTTAATTGCATAATTTCAGATTTATTTTTTATTCAACTGAAAAACCGCTCCCCCCTCGATACCCCCCTGAGCACACCGCCCCTGTCATCGCCATTTGTGCCGCTGGGTGTTCCTTAATGGGCGAGAACAAACCGTTAGCTACTTGCCATAATAACGGGTTACGGGCGAGTCAATAAAAATAAAAATGAATTTGCAAATTGTGCGCATTTAATGAGTACCACATGTGCGTTTTTAATTAATAACAAAGCGCACGAGCTCACACAGATACATAATGAGATCTACATACAGGAACAGGCGCTGGTTTATTAAAATAATTTCCCGGGGATTTCCCCCACCGGATGCAATTGCATTGTTCCCCAAAGCCAAATGTTCCACTTAGCTAAATCCGAACGCGTTGTTCATATTAACTATTGAATTACTGCGGCTAATTGGGAAATATCGAAGAGCTCTCTCTTTCCCCTCCCATATTTTTTGGGCTGCCAAATCAAAACAAATTTAATCATGTTAATATAATTACTAAAAATTAAGCCATAATCAACACACACACCACATACACCACAGTTGGCCCAAGTAAACACCTGCCAGCTAACGGCAAATGGCAAACAACAAGGACTCGTAGGACGCAAAAGGGGTGTAGAGAACGGGCTGGGGACCAGGGAATGGAATGGAACATAACACCAAAACGACCCAAATTATTTTTAATTCCCCGCAGGATAAGCACACACGAAATGAGCAGTCAGGCAGGACTCCTTCGAGGCCTCGACTTCAGCTTCAGCTACAGCTACAGCTGCAATTTATCCTGAACGGGGGGCTCCAAAGCCGCGTGCTGCGCATATTAACGAAATGATTATGGAATTCATAATTACGCACACACACACACACACACACACACTCGCATTGCCGCACACCCGCCATGTTGGTCCCATGGTGTATTGTAAAATGCGTCAACACATTTGCCAGCCGACGGCAATGGCACCGCTCCCTATGGACCAGAGGTCGTCGTCAGACAGAGCAACGAGTCTCGGGGAATGGGGACCACATGGCGCATACGCAATTTCCAATGCCTTGGCTGCTCAAATATTTGACGCATACAGTGCGTGATTAAATTAAATGCCTCGACCCCGCGACCCAGGCCCAATTCGATTCAGGGAAGCTGGCGACACAACTAATTAAAAACGCCCAACAATGCGACGTGACCGGGGCCGTGAAAGGAATTTGTTGTGACCGAATTTCGATTGCGATTGCGATTGGAATTGGGATGCGGGGTCACCGACCATTTGACCAATGCCCAAATATGTGTGCCCTTCTCTTCTCGCAAATGCGGTGCTGCTGTGTGCGTAATGAACTGACCAGGCCAGGCCAGGACAGGCGGCCGCATAATGCGATTATTGTCCCTGGCATACATATCTGGGCTGTGGGCCCGGATAATTCAATAAATTGCAATGCCATGCTGTTAACTCGCCTCCCCCGGGGGCATTCTCGGGATGCCAAATCAAATGCACTTAACTAAACTAAATGTGGCCGCAGTCGGTTCTCCTACTCCCTTGGCTCTGCCGCCTCAAAAAGTAGGCAACGATTTGCTTGCCGCATAAATTTCACTTGAGTGGAAAAGAGGAAAATTGTTAAAAAAAATAAAGGACAGGCCAAAACGAAACGATTCTCATTCTCCTCCTCCTTCTCTGACTGGTGAAAAGTTTTTTAAGTTAATTGAAATTCGGCCAGGATGCCCAAAGGATATTAAGGGATGCACACTCACACTGCAGAACCCTCTCAGATACTACCGCCAAAAGGTTTGAACTCGTGTTTTCTTTTGATCAGAACTGGGATTGCCAGTCCGCCACCATTCCCTGGTATATTTATGGGTGTGCGTAGGCCTCGAAAGGCCCAAGGACTTGTTGAATGGCCCACGAATATGTTGCCGCCAGGTTTCGGGGGGTATATCTTGCTCCTCGAGCAAACAGTTTAGTCAGTGCTCGGTCCCGGGACCGTGCAATGTGCTTAAGTCTCATTTATTTTTCATGGCCTGGCCTATAAAAATTGTAATTTCATTACCACCGACAGGCGGTTACGCCGAAGGTGGCTCCCAAGTAGCAAGTGCAAAATTGAAACACACTTGAAAAATGAAGGTGCCCGGCAAAACAACCACAACTCTCACTTGTGTCTGTTGGTCACTCCTGCGGATCCTGCTGCTCCTGCTGCTGGCCTTTTTATGAATTTTTAAAAATGTAGCTGTTTTGGCGGCGGCCGGCGCTGATTTCGCAGTCACGGGCACACGGCTCACACGGCCACAGGACCCAAATGCCCGGCCACTTGTTAGCTATTTTACGTTCCCACAAACACCTGTGTGTTTGTGAGTGAGTGTGTTCCCGGGGCTCTTCCGGTGTGTATCTCTGTGTGTGGCCAAGGTACTTAACTTAAATGGCATATACACTCCTTCACTTGGCCCGGCCAGTCGACATCAATTTAAATTGAATTTTCACTTACCCAAGGAGAGGTTCTTGGTCCTGGAACTGGGCATCCTTTGGTATGCAGCACAGACACCCGACAATTTACGTCCTGAATTAGTCTAATGTAAAATTTAAACCTTAACTTTGGCATTTCCTTTTCGGTTTTGGTTGCTTTTATTTTTGTATCTATTTTATTTTATTTTCCTGCTCCTGGCCAGTGAACGGGGTTAAGTTCTTAATTGATTAGGCCTGACATTTAATTAGCAGCGAATATTTTTGAGCACATTCATCATGCTTTGATGACTCCCCAGGTCGTGCCAAGGGACCTTCATCGTCCTGCTCCTCGTCCCGCCTCAATGTCACCAATTATGCTAATTAAAGGTGCCGTGAGCTTGGGCTCAACAATGCGCGCAAAATGTCTCCGTTTATCGGCCAGCCAGGGGTTAAAGGGTGTTTCTATTTTTAAACGGCCAAATTGACGGGGCTTAAAAAAAGGGCTAACTAGCTGGGCGACTGCCGGGTCGTAATTATCAAAATATGTGCCTGGTGGCGAGCTACCTTCTGGAATTGACAAATTAACATAAGAATGGTTAGCCAAATGAGCAGCAGCAGGAGGAAGAAAGGATAACGCTTGCGGAAGGATTCGGATCCAATTGGCGCATATCTTAAGCCTCCGAGCGGTAACGAACCTGTTGATGAATCAAACACGAATTTCAAATTCCGGCCTGGAGTGGGCGTGTCCTTGCACAACGTCTGCGTCTGCTTAACGCTTGCTGCACTAATTCAATTAAATATTTGTCTTTGTAGTTTGTGTCGCAGCCAAGGAATAGAACAAAGGCGAGTAGGGCCAAGAAATATGACGAGGGCATCCCAGCCAGCTTCAGGCCCATACCCAGGAAGACAAAGAGAAAGCCAAGGCTGCTGGCTGGGGATAAACAGCTCACCGTAGTGGGTCTCCATCTCCCGTCACCCGTCCCAGCTCGTCCCAGCTCGTCTCGCCGGGATAATGCAAATATTGTCGGGAGCGCGGAGCTTTCACTCAACAAGCGAGAGCAGCCTGCCGGCGGCTGGAAGGAATGAATTTATTGCTTTTGGGAATTTTCCACTTGATGGCATTTAATGCGATTTAGTATTTAAATGAAGCAGCGCCAGAGCAGCAGGAGTTGGTCCATGATGGCAATGGGGACAACAAAGACGATAAACTCATTCGGGCGCATTAAATTAATCTCGGCCAAGGCAGGAAGGACTTGACTTATTATACAGCCCCCGATAATCCGGCTCCAATGATTCCATAGAGGACTCTCTAAAATTGCTGCACGGCCGGAATAGTTTTCGCTGATTGAAAATCGCAACGGTCACACACGAGTGCAGTTTTAGCCCCCTGAAACCCTCAATCCCATCTCAGAGGTATTGCAATTGGTAAACCCCCCCCCAAAACCCTGACTGACAGGGCAATCTAAAATGTTTTGCTCGCTGCACAAGAGACGCTCCTTCGATTACTGCAAAATTTCAGTTGGATTCGGTTTCAGATTCGGTTTCAGTTTCAGTTTCAGCTTCAGCTCTGGAAATCCACACACAGATAGTCAGATTAACCAGATTTAAAAGTAAATATTTCCGTAATTGCCTGGGCTTTTTTTTTGCTGTGATTTTTATTATTATCCGATAGTGTAGCATGACAATATGTTAGTTGAATAAATAAATAAATAATTGGTGTATCGCAAAAGTGTAAAGTGCATAAATCTAGCTGCCAGGCAGGCTATGTCCTAATTATATGTGTTGGGAATATGCGTATAAATATTTTCGTAAACGGTAACATTTCTATTTGGTTAACAAATAAGCCAAGCAGCCAATTGGCTGTTGCATAATTCAATTAGTTAATGCAAATAGAAGCACAATAATTGACTTTTCATAATATTAGCGCTCGGTCAACTTTGCTGGCCCGGAATAAATAATAAAATTAACTTAAACTCCCTACCCGTCACATACTTGAAACTAGAGAGAGAAAAACATTATGCTAATTGCGAATAATCGAATAATAAAACAAAGAGAAAAAAACTATTTCTAAATCAAACCACCACCTGGTAAAGAATAAATAATTGACATCGATTGACATAATGCAAATCGTATGAGGTCGAAAGATTTTTAACTTGTTTGCGGAAGAGAAAAAACTTTCAAGGAAACCTAGGTCTAATCGAGGGTCCTTAACACTACTATTAACAATTGTTCGCTTATTAAGTTGTTCATAGAACTTACTTTTGATATATCATAGATATATGGTTCCTAAAATTACCTCGACACCTTCATGCTGCCAGCACAGGATCCTCCCCAGGGCGACGGAGTTCTCTGGATGCTGCGCCCTTTCAATGCCAATTTCGCCTCGGACTACTAATGGCAGGCACCAAGCACCAGAGCAAGCTCCTCCGCTCCAGCCAGGATACGGTCATCCCGGAGAGTCATCCTGCGCACGGACAGGCAGCAGTTGAATAAAGATGTCGCCGGTAAGTCAAAACATGCGCTTTGCAGCCGCTTGACCAGCTGCAGGGCGGGATCAGGGTCGGATCTACGATCGGTCGCGGTGAAATCGGGGGGTCACTTAAAACCCTGCCCCGGCGAACTTACCTTCGCCAGCGGGCGCGGGTTTGAGCCTTACTCTAGAGCCAAACTTAATCGCTGCACGAACTTACCTTCGTGCCTAACAAGATTGCGTGTGGGAGTCGGGGAATATGTACAAGAGGAGCGGCGACTAGAACCCGCTAGGCCCACAAGGCTAGCCGGGCATAGTCAGCGGAAAAGGGGTCAGGTGGGTCAGGTGGGTCAGGTGTCAGGTGTCAGGTGACAGGTGCTGGGTTCTCCACTTACAACTAGTATTAAATAAGGAGTCTTGGCGACACCTACTGGCTGTAGGGGTGACAGAACTGGTACACCAGACGCTGCGACCTCTCCGTCTTCTTCATGATGCCCTTCTTGTAGTACTGCCTTATGGAGCGGGACAACTTGTCGTAGTTCATCGCTGGACGATTCTTACGCCTGCCCCACAGCTTGGCCACCCGCACCGAATCCTCGATCTTGAAGATGCCCTTGCTGCGATCAATCCACCTTATGGCCGTGCCATTGACTTGTGGTGAGGCTAGCAATTCCTTAAGGAACTGCCAAAGGTGGATATGGGATCCACCACCTCCTCCGGTACGTCCGCCATTTGAACGCTTTGTTGTCGGAGCAGCTCCAGAAGTGGGCGTGGTTGTGGGTGTAGAGCTGGAGCTGCTGGTCAGAGGTGTCACTACCGCCTCCGCATCCATGTCCTCATCATCTGGTGAGGGAAAGGGAAACATTAACTCATTGTAATTCTAACAGATTCATGAGATTAACATAACTCTTATATTTTATTACTTTTAAAGTGTTGTAAAAGTTAATCTTTTAAAAAATGCAAGCTTTGACCATTTGAAAACCTCTCAAAATCAATTGGAATGAGTTCTTGTTTATTTTGGTTATGCAAATCACCTCTTCACTCTTCAAAGACTCACCTTCGCTATCCTCGTTGTAGTCCAGATCCAAATTGGGCATCGCATAGCTGGCTGGCCAGAGATCGGACTGCTGCTGGTGTCCAGGCTGATCGGCATAGGCCATCTTCCATATCTCCAGCTGGGCGTGCAGTGTGCTGCCGCTCTATAAAAAAGAAAGAAAAAATAAATAAACTTAGAGGGGGCGAAAGTGAGACATTGCGAATGGGCACAGAGCCTTAATCCTGGCCAGATCTCAATCTAGACGGTGCATATCAATTGAAAATTCTTTGGCTATCCAAGTGCATAAATTATAGCCAGTCTTTATGCTGCATCACAACAACAAGAGGCAAGACACAAGAGGCAACGAAGTAGACGACGACGACGACGACGACTTACTTTCACCTTGCAATGTCGTTGCTGGTCGTTGGCTCAGTTCGAGTGCTGCCAGTCGGGGGGACCCCCGCCCCTGGCAGTCATCTGAGCTGGCTCGTAATCATCCATCCAAGTGCTGCAGTTTCACCAAACAACCTTCACACATTCTTTCACCTTTACAGCCATGACCACGGTTACTAATTTTTGTTTCTTTTTCGACCGATCTCCGATTTCGGCTTTGGCTTTTGTCATTCGCCAGAGCCATTCGCGCCCCTCGCTCACGTTCGTTGCCTAAGTCTTTTGTTTTCCATTCGTCTTTTCGCTGCACTCTCTGCGGGCAGCAAAACCTAACGAGCCTAAGCGAATGTAATCATTGATATATTTTTGGCAAATGGGAGAGCACATGCTCGGCGGGATTGTGGAGTAGTTTTAGATGCCGCCAGCTCTTTGCCTAATTGCTGGGCAACAGGTTTTTTGGTGGGGGGTTTGGTAGCGATTTTGAGTCTCAAGTTTTGCTTTTTGCGTTTTGCTTTCTGATTTTTTTCGATACCGAATGGGCTTGTAAGCTCCGCTGCCATGACGTCAACGCCAGTTACGAAACTTGTTTCGTTTTAGTTTTCGTTTCATATCGATTCGTTTTGATTCGTTTTGTTTTGCTCTTTGTTGGCTTTATTTCTGTTTCTTTTTCTTTTGCCTCCATTTCCATTCCATTTTGCCCCCCCGTACGCGAAATTCAATTCAATGGAACTCTCCATATGGAATGCTTTGACCATTTGCATTGTGTTATTGTTTTATATGCTCCATGGTCCCCATTGGCTATTGGCCCGCTGCTGCCTTGTGATCTGATGGATTTTGTAATATGACCAACTATTTTGGCACTCGCCCAGTTAAGTCATACGCACATAATGGAATTAATTATAAGTACCACCTTAAAATCAACCTCATTCCTGAGAAATCTTATTAATTTGGTTTTCTTGAACATAATGTAAAAGACTTAGTCATTAGCTTTACGCTAAATGAGATCTAGGTGTCATTGAATTGGTCTGGATTTCTTGTTTTTGGTAACTTTAACGAATGAGTCAGAATTTTGGTAAAAACAATACTATTTCCTGTAGCTATTTATATCATTTCATACTTCTTTAATGAATTGTGAAATTAAATTTATATATATTAACCTGCATAGAAATCACAGCTAAACTGTACGTAAAACCCAAGCAATAAAATATCTACCAATGGAATTTCAAAGACTTCTGCTAGCCAACTATACATGGCAGTCTCTCTAGAGATTTCTATGACACCTTTCGGCCAGTGGCAAGTGTGACTGGACTGACTCTGGGACTCACCTCGGGCAATCGGCGCACGAATTCCTCCTCGCTGAGTAATGTCAATGCTGAGCCATCTTCGCAGAACTGCAGCTCCAAGTCGGCCACCGGCGGCAGTCGGAACTGGGCCAAGGTGGATCGAAGCCATGCGTGTACTTGGGCGGGCGACCAGCCATTAGGATCTACACAGAAGCAACACTGGGTTATAGCAAACTCCATATAATTTAACCCTTAAGCCCCTAACTCACCCTGCGATATCTGCAGCTCCGCACAGATGGCGTCCGCCTCCCGCTTGGCATGCTCCAGTGCCAGCGATATGACTGGCTCAAAATCCCCACGCACCTCGGCCAAGCCGCCAATGAAAGATTCCAGAGCCAGCGGCTTCAGGTTGTGACGTTTCTGGAAGCTGGTGTCCTCCAGGCACTCGCGCAACAGCTGATGGTCGGGCTTGGTATCCTGGAGACTCGGCTGGCCGCTCTGGAGGCTCTGCTGCTGCAGCAGCGTGTTCAAATCGATCAGGCTCTCGATGTCCGCGTCAAAGGGCTCGGCCTTGATGCTCTCCCCGCAGGCGGAACGCGGCGAGGGAGTCTCGCAATTGGACTCCGGCGGCGATGGTGGCAAAATGTGTAGCTCCTGCTTAATGCTGGCCGCCTCCAGCGAGGGTGAGGGGCTGCTCAGGCTATCGTAGCTCCCGCCTAATCTTCCAAATCCGTAGGCGGCGAACTCTGACTGCAGCGGACTCGACTGTGGTGAGGGATAAGCGCTGTGCGGATAGGCGGGCGGTGGGATTAACTGGTGGGTGGATCTGGGATAAGACTGTTGCTGCTGTTGCTGCTGCTGCTGCGGGTGCGTCTGGCTCTCCCAGGCGCACTCGACCTTGATCTGTGGGGCGTTGTACTGGAAAACAGTGGTGGGAATGGGGGCGGGTGTGGATTCCTGCGGCAGCAGCGACAGGTCAAAGTTATCCGCATAGGCTGAGTACTGATCCGGAGGCGTCTGGGCCTGGAACTGGTGTGGCTTCAGTTGCGGACTGTGCGGCATCTAAGCAGAAAGAAAGAAAGTGGTAGCCAAGATCAGTACACTGGGGAAAATTTCGGTTTTATTCAACCAAAAAGGGTTTGCTGAAGACCATTGTGCACTTTTAAGTATATGCATTTCAATGATCAATTATTATTTTAACAAGCTTTTTAATCATTTCTTTTTGGCAACTAATTAAAACTTTTCTTTTTGAAACCTTACCAACTTGTTCCTATTATACATGACTAAATTTCTCTCTGTGCATCTACAAGAACTAAAGTTATTTTGTCCAAGAAAAGAGGGACTGGCCAGTAGCTAAGTTGCTAATTGAAAATCTAAACACGGGAGGCGCCATCTTGACGGAGCCAACACTTATTATCAGACGAGATCTTAGATGCCAAATCGCGGCCACCTGTCTTAATTATCACGCCCATGAAAGTTAATTAGTTTTATTTCTCCAGTTTTGGCTTTCAGTTTGGAATTTGCGCATGTGTGGCCGCCTTTCTAATTCGTACTCGCAGCACCTACCTGGCCAGCAAAGGTATGGAAATTTTTGGCGGACTCGGTTTCGGTTTCGGAAGCTTGATCTGATTCTGATTCGGTTCTGACTGGGTTCCTAACCTTAGATTTCCAAGGCGGTGGTCCCACTGGCGGCTGGCGGGATTCGAAGCCGACGAGACAAGAGCAAGAGGCGTACTAAGCTCCAAGTGGCATTGATTTTCTCATTTATCAAGCTGCGAGTTGGGGCTGTGACGCCACAGAACACCTTCTGTGCCTGCAAACTGAGCGAAAAAAAAAACCCAGAACCCGTAGACCATCGGGGGGTGTGCTTTTTTACGGGCAGCCAAACAATGACTAGATCGAAATCAAAGCGTTCTCCATCGCTCTCACATACATTTCTGTACTTCACCAGCCTCCCACTCTCTTTGCCGTCACTATCTGTTGGATTTTATACGGTTTATACCCTGAGAAGGGCTATTATAGTTTTGGTAAGAAGCTTATAGTACTTTATATATTAAATTAAAATATGATAATACACAAAAGTCAAGTCAAGCTTATTTTTAAAATTACTTATACAACGATAAATTAACATCGAACTTCTTTATAGAACAAGTAACTTTGTTTTATTTTTTACTTTTGAAAAACTTGCAGAGTATTATAGTTTCAGTCAGAAGAGTAAAAATCAAATTTTCAAAATTTTATATAAATCTCAAATTTATAAAATTTTAAATTAATTATGCAGATTTATTAACCCCATTAAAACTAACATAGGAAAGTTATCCGAATTAAAATTAAAGCATTTTTGACTTAGTTATAAGATTTTAAAACATTGATTTATCAAACAAATTGTCATATAAAATATCAATAAATATCGATTCAAAGAATACGAATATTTTTAAGCTAAGTTATAATCAATTTCCGAAGCAATCCTATAATTCCCAAGCAAACTTCTAGGGTATATAAATTGGGGCTTCCCGAAGTTAGTTTCCATTCTCATTTTCTTATTTATTTGCACAGCGTCATAAAAGGAGGCAATGCTAATATACGGCCCGAATGCGCTACCAATTTGTACCTATGAGAAACTGGTTTTTCATTAAGCCAAGCTCAGTGCAGCAGTTGGCTCTCAGGGAGCTACCTGTGTCACCTGGGACTCGAAGGGGGGCGGAGGAGGAGCTCCTGAATATATATATATATTGCATGGCTATGCGCTGTGCGCTTATTATTAATAAAACAGCTCATACTGGATTTTCCGACAAGCACATTCAGTGACTACCAAAGGGGGAGTGGGGGTGTTATTATTGGCTAGGCGACGACGCCATAATTCTAACTAGTCACGATGTTATTACAATTTCTGTGTTTTAATTGTTCGACAACGGGGCGTATGAGTGATTTCAGTTCGCTTTTCTCGCCTGCCCGCTAATTGCAAGCGCAAACATTTCAGATTTCGCTGTACTCGGTGATTACCTTGCGTAATATGCATATTATTAGAGCGATATCTAAGCCTCAGACATTGCCGTGTACTTCACCCAAAGCAAAGCTCAAAATGGGAGTCGAAATCTGTTGGAGATACCAAGGAAAACCGAGGACGAGGATGATTCAGCAGCTGCAGCCAATGACTCAGTCAGACTAGCCATAAAAAAATGTGATTGCTGGACAAAAAATGCATAATAAATCGACCGACTAGAGGCCATTTATGGACCATTAAGGGAGGGTCCCCCTTGCCGCAAAGATCTCTACTACTTATTACACCCAAAAATTCTTAAAAATTTTAAACTATTTTCATATCACAGTTTGTGGCCATTAACCGACCCTCACTCAGGTCTGCCTCCATAATTTTTCCACAAAAAGGTCTCTGCCGAGGGTAAAAGCTCTCCTAAATAGGTAGTTCAATATAATGCCAATATATATTTCCATCTTGGGGCAATAAATGCTAAGAAAAATTTGCATTTTTTACGGAAACTTTGATTTATTCTTGAAGCAGACAATAATGCCGGGCCCACATCCTCGCAGCTGTGCGAATTAGATCACTCGGGTTATTCCATTCTATGGATTTCCTGCTGTTCCCAGACGGACGGACGAACAAAGATCTGAATCATGTGGTGTACTCGTAAATTTTAATTAAATCTCGTTCTACAAAAAAGCGAGAGACCCGCAATTCTGACAGAATCGGAGTTTCCAGCACCGTGGAGGGAGAGATGCAGACAAAAGGCACTCTTTCTATTTTTTTTGTATTTGTTTGTTTGCGGCGCTTTAAGCCAAATGCTTTTGGCCAGTAATATTTCATTGGCGTGTCCGACATCGGGCGGCTGTCAATAAACGCTTTTGTTTCGGGATCGTTACTGGTCCCCAGAATCGAATCGAATAACGCCACAGTACCTATATATATATATAGATATATATAGCTTATATTGATATGTCGACATGTGTGTGCCACTAGCACCCACCCAATTCACGTCACAAATTGCTTGTTTTGTGTGTTTTCGTTATCGATCACCAAACGCTTGGTGTCAGTGAAACAATGAGCCCGGCAGCAATTAGGATTTGGCATGGCTCTCTCTCTCCGGCCAAGTGGCTGTCAGGTGTTGCTGATATTTTTAGAAAAACCGCAGGGCCATAATAGCCGCCGGTTCTATTTTTAAAGTAATTTGCAAAAGGCACAAAACTGATACGGTTGGGAGTGTGGGTGTGACCATGTTTGTGATTGGATGGCTGAAAGGGAAATACAGTGTGTGTTGTGTGTGTTTGTGTTTCGGGCTTTCCACCTGCCTGCTAACAGGATATATTGACCAAGAGTACTCAACACTCACTCGATTCGATGGAAGCTCTTATCGCGGAAAACGATCACTGGCCATATAGCCATAGCTGCTGACTAACCAATAATCATATTCATTCACATCGGTTAGATGGAACGGCTTTCATATGTTAGCCACATTTAGACTGACACGCACTGGCACAGAAAAAATATTGAATTGAATTCCAATTAAATTATAGCATATCGATGCTGCTAAAATGCCATAAACTTCAAAGCTGACTCATGGACGGATAGACGACGACGAGGAGCAAATAAATCGAATATGCCGAATTTATTAAAATTCCAGCAGCAGGCCGATAAAAATCCATTTTCCAGCAAATAACAAAGGACAAAGACGTTTATCCAAATTCAAACAAAAGACAAAACAAAATAAAATCAGAGCAGCGATGGATTTGGATTTGAAAATCGCAGACGGAGATGGAGACGAAGTAAAGGCAAATACATTTTGCTGGACTGTCAAAATCAGTGGCAGATTTGATTTCCCTTTTGCGCCAGCAAAATTGAAAAACCCTTATCCAAATTAGCAACAATAATATTTGAGCAATGTGCCAGGCTGACATCCAAGGGGGCAGCGGAGGAGATAGAGCCTCTCAGGCGCAAAGTAATAAATTGAAAATATCTGGCTTTGGTCGAGGCCACAAAAAGCTGAAGTGAAAAACAAGTTTTATGATTTTTGTGGCTGGCCAACTCAAACAAAATTCATTAGAACAAGTCGAAGCCACTGTCAAGAATGTGGCATATTTATTTACAAACACACAACGCTGTCGCCTGTGTATCTGTTTCTCGGTTTGCCTGTGCTTATGGCTTCGCCTAATAATAAAATCAAGTTTACGTTTTAAGAACGACAAAAAGCATTATTAAAAGCTGCGATCAGATAGCACTCAGCTCATTGTCTCGTACCGCAGATAATAAATGGAACGAATGAAATGGCCAACGCCTTAGGCCCGCGCTCACGACCGATCTATATAGATACACTTAACAAGATCTTACAGGGGCGCGCCCAGGCCCATAGACAAAGGAAACCTTGGTACAGAATCGAAGTTGGGTATCTGAACTCTGGCTCGGAATCAGAATCAGAATCAGAATCAGAGTCGGACAAAAGGTTGGAGTGAAGGGTATTTCGCTTACAGTTGCAATTGCAGCCTTGAAGGCCTTGAGCGCCTGACATGATGTTGAGTTATGGCCAGGTGATATTTAAATTAATTTATATGTATCTTTGAACTAAATAAACAAACTATGCTAATGCCGTGTGCTCGCTCCTAACCTCAGGTGTTCGTTCAGCTGGCTGCGACAATTGTCAGGTAATCTGTTCTAATCGCATTATGGCAATGGCGCTGGTTAAAGCCACGTTGAGCGTGGAGAGACCAGAGACCGAAGTTTCCCCTCCTCGACTGGTCTTAGCCCCTCCACTCATTGAGCCCCGCTTCTGGCCGATGCGCAAGCGCAAATTGTTTGTTTAATGAATATTCGCTTGATTCGCGGGCTTAGGGATTGGATACTACAAATGGGTTTGGTGCCTGAGGGGGCACCAAGGGGTTATGGCCATGTTGAAGTGCGCTGTCAACAGCAAAAGCATATATTCAGCAGAGGAGATACACTGTAAGAAAGAAAGAAGGTATGCCAAGTCTTATAAACATACTTGAGCAAAAGCCATACATAACAGAACATTTAAAAAGATTAGTATATGATAATTCATAAGATTTAATACCTTTCTTGTAAGTATAAACAGCTCATGTAGAGTTGCAGTATTTAGATATACTTTAAGATAAAATTGGTCTTTCAAAGTTTTTCTCTCCCTGTACAGTTACAGTCGCAGACAGCTACAAAGATAGAGATACTCTGGCAAATCCCCCGCCGGTATCCACGTACAATCTACGGGCGGTTGGATGCGTGGGTTAAGCTGTCAAAGAGACAAGACTTATTTCTGCTTATTTTTACATGGCTCGCCTCTGCCTTCTGTTTCACTCATTATTCCGTATCTGAGTATCTGTATCTCGGTGGGATTGTTTGTGTATGGTTGGATATCTGTGCGCTTGGTTTGCAGTTTGGTGGCGTTGGTTTCAGCCGCTTCGTGACGGTGCAATTGCGAGTGCGAGTGCGAGTGTAGTTCTTGCCGTTCTTAGCTATTTGCATTGCATTTAATTGTCGACATTTCATGCTAGATAAATGGCTGCCAGCAAGGTTAATAAATATCTCGGCTCTCGGGGTCTCGACACTCGACTTGACTCGACTCTTCAGCTGGCTAAAAGGGTGCCACATTTCAATTATGCTGGCTACTTGCCTGTCTGCTTAATATGCAAAATATCTGAGGTAAATGCAACTGTAAGTGCTCTAGAATGTTCCAATGTTCCGGCTCATTGATGGAGTTGTGGTTGCCGTGGAAAGCCATGGGAAAATTAATTAACACACCAACTGAGTGAAGACTTAATCGAGCCCAAGAAGATTCTCCCCCGCACTTTAGCCTGTCTAAGAGCCCAAGATTCTATCCCACATTAACCTGTCTAGAGAGCCTGATGGACACGCCAGACACACACCCACCTGGGATTGGGGGGAACTCAAGGAGCGTCCAAGAATGGCCGGCCAGGAATGCGCTTTAAGTCTAGGCACCGAACCCTGCTGATCCATTCCCATTCCCATCCAATACAAGCCAATCCAATACGATCCAATCCCTTTTGCACTCATTATGCACTGCACGCACTGACAATTATTCCGAACAAAAGACGTTGCGAAGCCAACTCATTTCAATTTGCATAAAAGCCAGGCGAGATTCCATGCTGAAGCCGCAAGACAGGAGCCGCAACCACATTTGAGCCAAGAAGAAGGTGGAGCCACACCCAAAAGGTGATTATTATTGTATAATCGGTTTGATTGATAACCAGCCCTTGGCAGAACCAACTCTGTGGCTGAGTGCCACTCTGGACAGATACAAAGATACACAGAGGCAGGAAGGCAGAAGCGAGAGGCACCGAGGAAAACCTGACAAGCTGAAGTATTTATGTCATGTCGAGTTTTCCTCAACTGCAAGTACGACGGCGGGCTTAGCGTGGCTGAGCTGCGAAAGCGGCTTGCATTTATAATTGCTGGCAGTAGTATTTATTTTATTATGTCCATAAATATAATGAGACATGAGTGAGGCTGCGGTGCATTTCTAAATGCTCTTCGCTATTTGCTATTTGCTGCATGCTGCAAGCTGCTTGTTGGGAAAAGCGCGAGAAGCAGAAGCAGCTTTAGCTTTGGCAAAATCGCATCGGAGACACATTTCCATCAAATCAATCAAAAATGGTAAATACAAGTTTTTTCCTAGCCGTATTTTCTGTATTTTCTTTTATTGCAATGCTGCTGGCAGCGACACAAAACGTCAAAGACATATGGAGCCTAAGTAGGTCCAGCAAAAAAGTATCTGCTGGATTGGAATGCACTTTCCGAGTGAAATGCCGGGCCGACATGGCCGACAGCTCTTACTATACGCTATGTTTGTATTTGTGCTACTGTTTGTTGTCATGCCATAGTTGACAATCATTTAGAATCACTTCTTGCAAAATGAAAGCATCTTTTGAAAGTTGCTGCCACTATGGTTGCCACAGCCACAACCACTGCCACTGCCATTGCCATTGCCATTGCTATTGCTGTTATTGTAATTAAAGCGAAATGCCATAAGACAAATGCGAAAATGTAACTAGCAAGTGTTACTGCTGCTAGATGCTGCTCGCTGGGCAATTGCACAGAGAGAAAATATATATAATCATGCCTTGATGTGGTGATAATATTGATTGAATATTGATTATAATGAATTACTTTAAAGAAAGGCATAATCCTAGATCCATTTTGTAAACTAAACTGTGACTAAACTGATTAAAAATCATCAAAATACATACAGATATAAGGTATTTCTGAATTAAATAAAACTTTGCCTAGATCTATTTCCGATAGCCTTTCCCTAGTTTCCGAGCTCATTATAACTCTTTTCCCAATTAATATACCATCAATAAATCTTAAAAGTATCTTGAAGTATTTACTACCATTTGAAGGGACTAACATTTTGGCTCTGTGTAGCCAGCTCTCACCCAGTGACACGCATTCGCTGCGCGGCAGTCGCATTCGCATTCGCGAGATACATCTGCCGCCTACGCGAGATGCGCTGCTAATTAAGAGCCGCAGCTTTCTGCCGCCGAACTGCGCACAATGCTCGCATTCGACAGATACACAGATACAGATACATTCTGCGACTGATAAGCAGCCGCGGTGAAGGGGGGTCATCGATGGGTTATCGGCCATCGGGCTCTATCAGCTATATAGTTGCGCCACAGCCAGCCCCTAGCCCCTTGTTTTTTTTTTTTTTGCTCTGCAGAGGAGATGCCGATAAAGTGGCTCGAATCTCGTCGAATCTATAAGTACGTTTCACTTACCTCACTGCCACTGGGCATGTACAGCATTTTCTCATACTCCATTTCGAAGCCTTATTAAAGACAATGGTGTGGAATGGTGTGGTATTCGGCAGATACTCGCTTCTCAGGCCCAGCTAGATACCCTGGATAGTTGGTGGTACTGTATCTGGATCGGTTTTGGGGGTTCGCATGCAAAAAATCAACGTTGAAACTGCGAAAGTCTCCGTCGGCTATTGGCTATCTCGTTCTCCCTCGCGGACCGCTGCACACCTCCCGCTCTCGCCGTCTTTGTCTGGCTCTTTCACTTGTTTTGTTTTTGTTTTAATTTTGACTTTTCAAAATGTTAAACTAGATTCAGATTTCAGATTCACTCAGAGTTGCTTTTGACTGCTGATGCTGGTTTTAGTGTTTTTCGTTTGTTTCACTGCCCCTGCCTTTGTGTTCATAATGAGCTTTAAATTGCTTCGAGTCTATATATTTCTTCAGCCTGTTTGCCGTTTGCTGTGCATTCACTTGACTGGTATTCACTGCATTTCGTTACTAAAATTTCCACTGGCAAACTTGTTGCTCTCTCTTTCACTCGCTCGCTAGCTGTCTCTTTCGCAGTGTCTGGATCCGCTACCAACCGTTCGCAAAGTCTTCACGCTCAATTCTGTGAGCGGTCCGAGTCGCGATCGCTTCGCTTACCTCATGCGCCGAGCTTTTGAGCCGCCAAACTGGTTCAAGCTCAGCTCCACCGTCCAGCTTTTAGCGCCCCAAGCTCCCCAGCTCCCAGCTCCTCGCTCCCCGCTCCCCGCTCCCAGCTCTCAGCTCCAAGTACCCAGCTGGGAGCTTTGCCATTCAGACATCAGCGCTATCGAAGCCAGTAAAAGTCCATCAATTCCGAGATGAAATTTATTGTTTCGCATAAAATGACACCGACAGGAACTGCCACTGCAAAAGAGCCAACAACTGTGATTGAATTGGCCAACAGGGATGAGAACATATGGTAGATAAGCTGAAATTAAACTAAGGTATTTTTATTTAATATGTACAAGTAATAAATTATAATATCAAAAGAGACCAAAAGTTTTTGAAAGAAATTGGCAATCAATTTTCATTCACTAGAATTCGGTTCATTTTTTCAGATTATTTTAAAAGTGTTCTTATTAATAATAGGTTCTTTACTTAAATATAAAGTTATATATATTAATTAAGTTACATTGATGAATTAAAGGTATCAAATCAAAAAAGGTTATTCATTGATTTTTTGGGGTTCGCAATTGATATTTTCCTTTACTAATTTTTTTGGGTGAATTCAAGTTTTTCAAGTATCATAACTAAGCCAAAAATGCATTAATTTCAATCTGAATAGATTTCCTATGCTAGCTTTTATAAGGTTAACAAATCTGCATATTTAGTTTCCCAATTTAAGAAATTCAGTTTTTTATCCAATTTTTTGAAAATTTTAACGGTGTAACCCTTATGAAATTTGGAAAAAATTTCTAAAATTTATTTTTCCTTCAGACATGTCTCGATCGATTCAGTTATTGATGCTGATCAATAATATTTATGATTAATAGGGTCGGAAATGACTTCTTGACTTCTTTCTATAATACCCTGCAAGGGTATAATAAACCTTTCAAAGCTAATAAAAACGACAAGTGAGCAGCACTTAGAGCCACGCCCACCGCCGAAGAGGACTACAAGTGCATACTGTCAATGCGTGTGTGTGTGTATGGAATTGTTCCTGCCCGCTGCACGTCAGCTGCATTATCATTTCCGCTTCCGTTGCAGGAGACGCAGAGACGCCGCCAGCAACAGTGGCCGACAGCCATCACAGAATACAATTTTGTTTGGCATTTATATTTCATTGCACAAAGGCGATTTCACTGGTTTTTGACATCTCATAAAAACTGCGACGCCGTCTGATGCCCAACCCCAGTGTTATCCTTTTACCAATGTCCCGGCAGTCACTGACCTTCTCGATGGTAGCATTAAAATGTAATTTCGTGTATTCAATATGCTCGGATTATCCATTAAATTGTCAATTCTTTAAGTTGTCTAGCATCTGAGCAGTTATACCCCTAAAAATACCCTTTGTTTAATACATAATATATAGTATTAATTAGTAAACAAAATAAATAGAGAAATACTCATAATTCATAGCAAATTTAATTTAAGATAATTATTTATTTTAAAGTGTTAATTGAAGCACATATTGAATAAATTTCGTGGTGAAATTCAGTATAGCATCAGCATAGGCTTCCGGCTTAACGCTGAATAATTGGTTTTGTTTGTCACAAATTCAATTTATATTTAATTAAAATGTGAAAATTATAACCAATGTTGGCCTTTTTGCAAAAATAAAGATAGTTAAAAACTGGCGACTATAAACTCCTCCCAGGGAAGCTGCTCGATGATTTCTGCTTTAACAAACGCTCGATTTGCTGGCCTGCCGCCGAGCCGGATCAAATTGGCTGAGCAGGAAGCGCTGTCGTCTAAAATGAAAGGCATGTCAACAGCAATCGGCACTCAGAGGAAGGAGCCTGGACTTCAGGTGGAGCACGAGGAGGAGGGCCCCGCAACCAAGCCCATGGCAATCATTATGCCGGATGCCGAACCCTTCGCGTTTAGCTGCGGACAGTTTCCAGAGCCCAGCTTCTGGTAGTCAAGCCCCTTCCAGCTAAAGTCTTTGTACACTTGGAAAACATTTTGGTACAATTACCTTAATTAAATTGTCATGAAAACTCAAAGGATTCCTGGAATATCCTGAATATTATGTTAATGTTGATTTTACCAAAGAACTGTTCTCAATTTGGTGCTCGAAACTACAAAACCTACAACTTTTTTTCAGTGTTTCGGAAATCATTAAAGTGAAAAGCTTTTTCTCCGTGCACCAACTGTGAACAACGCTTGGGCCCACCGTGCGGCACTGCAGCCATGTGCAGCCGGTGCCACGTGATGGACAGCCGGCTCAAAGCAGCCGTGCTCTTAATAGTGTGCTGCACCAGCCACAGGCTACGGGACGCCCGGGCTCCTGATGGGACAGCCATTAACCCACAGCGTCAGTGGACCAGCCCGATGGATTGGCCAGGAAACGTGCTGAAGTGACAGAACGCGCAAAGGCCGCGACAAACAGCTGAATCAGCCCCCGGGGCTGGTGGAGCACTCGATGGGGAAATGACGCCAGCTCCAAACTGGGGGACAGCAGCTCCACGGGCAGCCAGCTTAGATTGGCCGGTTGGGGATAGACTTGGCTGCTGCATTGTCCACCGAACAGTCTTATTATTTCGAGGAGTTGCGGATACGGTAACGGTTACGGTTACCCTCAAAATAATAGCGAAAGATGTCAGGACAAGATGCGGTAACTGCACTCGAGTGGATCAATGTTAACAATTTAATTAGGCAAAGAACTAGGATTTCTGGAATTAAGTAACTATTATATGCAATTGAGCATACAGGTACTTATTGGATTGTTTCTCCAATAGATATATTAAACCATTAATCACCTTCTTTAGTGCCACAATATCCCAGTTTAGTTCGAGCACCGAACTTGCCACTAAACATCGTTTAATCAGCCTGCTGCAGGATAAATCAGTTGCCAAACTGGAAGCTGTACGGTGCCAGGATAACCTGTGGCTGCCTGTCGATTCGAATTAAGCCTTGCTCGGGAGTCCAGAGAGTTGATTTGATTTGCTAGACACCATGTTGCCTCTTATGAGTATCGAGAGAGATCCGACCTAATGCGATGGCAGGCAGTAGAGGGGGGCACATTGCATAGGCTACGATTGGGATCCCACACTGATTGGTCCTAAATCAAAGCAAGGATTAATGCGTTAGTCAGGCAGCCACTGGGGAGGTGGCAGACATATACAAATACGAGTACCATGCCCAGACACAGATGCACTAAGTCGGCGTGGCAGGAAGTGGGTTGGAACAAGCCTCACACATGGGCGTGGACGGGGGGGGAGGGGATTGGAGCCGTGGCAAAGACATGAGGCGTGACAGCACAGCCTGCCGGATGGATGGTCAATGAGACACTTCCGGTGTAGAAGGGCGCAGCAGGAGATGGAGCAGCAGCAGCACCAGCACCATTGATGTAAATGAAAGCCGTTTCGCTTAAGCTGAGTACAATGACGACCGTGCGCACTCCGGAAGCACTGCATCCACAATGGGAGTGGGATCCGAGAGTGGGTGTAACAGAGTCTGTCTCGACCGGACAGGATGCCCCAGCAAACTGTTGCATGTCTGCTGGACACCAGAGTAAGAGTCCCTTGGCACGGTTAGTACTAGTCCTTTGAGAACAGTGCTGCCAATTGCGCTCTTTTCTGAAGTATTTTATTTATATTTTAGCCTTTTATTAAACAGAAATTGTAGTATCATTACCTATTCTACTATATTGTATTTATTTCCTCAAAAACAAAGATTAGTATTTAACACTTTACATGCATTTTAAAAAGTATTTATTATATGAACATAAAAAATGTCTCTTTGGGTTTAATAAATAAATACAAGTGATAAAAAATTGTGTAAATTGTATCCTCTTTTATACTAAAAACTATTTGACGTAATAAAAACCCCGACCTGATTTTAAATGAAAAAGTTTATTTTCAATTTTCTGGTTTGCAAAAAAAGTATGCTTTTAAACCACTTAAAATCTGACAACACTCTGAACGTGTAGAGAACATATAGCCTAGGTTGGGGAGGAGATTTACGGAGCACCCACAAAATCCAGTTTGTGGCAGGACTTTGTCTGAATCGAATCATCGGCCATCGGATCGTTGCGGTGTCAGTTCGCTTGGAAATCCGCTCGAAAGCCATTCACAAATGTAATCCGCCGGCGAGCTCAATATGCGGGTATGTAAATAATTGCCACCGCCGTCACCATCAACGTAACGTAATGTAACGTAACCGTTACCGTCCCCGTTAGCGATTTGCCTCCTGTCCGCGGTCCAGCGTGTCCTTTGAATGCCCCAAAGGGTACTTCATGCGATTCCGTGCCGCCCATCGTAATCATTCGAATGGCCGGAGCAGACTCCGGCAACATGTTGAGTGTCAGCTCAATGAGCCGACACGCGTTGATTTCAAATAAATAAAAATGTTAATTTTAAAACAGCGACCGCCTCGCTGAGCGTCTCTGAGAAATAACAGTTATTCGCTGTACGTGTTTAATTATTTTTAAATCACGATTCGGGGAAAACTGCAGAACTGGAACAGGAGCTACTATGACTACGATTATTTCGCAGGCGAATCACGTGCCGATTGTCAGCTATTCGGGGGGCACTCGACGCGGCCCACAACTGTCCACTTAAAGTATTATTTCCGCAGCAGGATTCTTAATTACACGGACTATTTCGTGCGGTTGAATTTGTGTGTGTGTGTGTGTGTGTGTTTTGTGGCCTCCGATTATAAATATTAATTATGCCATCTTTGACGCAGGAAGCTGGAAGACAAAAAGGGCGCCTGCACTTGAAGCAACTTCAATGCATAATAAATAAAGCAAATAATAACTTTAAGGGCCCCAAGACAAAGAACTTTCCCTGTTTCCATTTTCCATATAGAGCAAAGTGAAAGGAGCTGACCTCTGAGCACACACACACACACTCATACACACATTCGAATGAAAAGTCAAAGGTCAAGCAAGCCCGGGAAGGACGCGTTACTTTG